GGGAGGAGGTTGAAGTGATGGCGCAGGGAAAGAAGAGGACTGAGCTGGGGCTAGGCGGTCTGGAGAAGGAGGCTGCTTATGAGCTCACCATATGGAGAAGGTCGGGTGGATGACATTCATAGTCATAGAGGGGATGACCTGTAGAAAGTCCTGGGGGAGTGAGAACACCTGGTGTGCTCCAGAGATGGTGAATCATGCAGGATGGTGGAGCCGGGGGTCGAGGTGGGAGAGCTGGGTGGGATGGCTGGAAGTGGAGGTCAGTGGAAGATAAGGCTGGCCTTGAGCGCCAGGAAGAAGCCCTTGGCCTTGATCCTGAGGGCTTTGAGAAAACGACAGGGTCAGATCTGTGTACTAGAAAGATCTTGCTGCAGTCCATTTGAGGGGACAGCAATGGGCAGGGAGGAGGAGAGACTGGAGGTCCCCGGAGAAATGAGGGGAGCAGACAGGCCCAGCTGGGCAAGCCCCAGGCTTCTGCATGCTTTCTGGGCTGCTCCCACAGACGTGCACCAAGCATGATCCCTAACTGATGTACACGCCTCTACCCCCAAGTCCCAGGGCTGTCCTGTCCTCAGAGAAATCTTCTTTTCCTACAACCTCCACCGTATCATCTGTGAGGAAGGCAAAATAACCTCTAAGCCAGGGGTCCTCCCAGGAAGGGAAGTGGGACAGTTAGGGGCTCTCAGAGATAGAGAGAGGGAAAAGACAGCCCTACATGGGGGCTGGATTTAGAAGCAGAGAAATATTTGGGAACAGAAGGAGAATCAGAGACAACAATTCATTTGTTTCGATATTTATTGCAACCTTATTTTTGCCCAGTGCAGCGTAGAACGAAATCAAACGTTATTAAACAGAGCAACCTCATCCTAGGAGATGTTCAAAGTCAATCGTGTGTCATTCTGCGATCGGAGAGTTATGTGGTCCAAAGACAGAGGGAGTAATTTAAAAGAACGGAGTCCCTCAGTTGCAAAGATCTTCAGATTTGGAGGAAAAGCACATGTCTTAAGAACCAAAGCAAGGTGAAAGTTGATCAAGCCACATGATGGGAGGGAGTGGCTGATTTTTATGTGTATGTGGAAATACTAAGTCATGTGAACGGCCTGGGCCCGCCTTGACCCATCCCTTCATAAAGGTTTTGGATGGTAAATAGGGCCATGTAATGCACCAGAGTCACCAGGAGGAACCAGTCAACAAATGTCCAGAGCAAAATCAACTTCAGTTCATTAACAGAGAATTAGCTTCTTTAACAGATATGATGAATAACAAACACTTACTTAGTACATGCCAGGCGCTGGTCTAAGAGCGTTATACATTAACATATTTAATCTTCATAGCACACCTGTGAACTAAGTACCATTATTATTTCGATGTTACAGACAGGGGAAACTGGAACACAGAGAGGATCCTTGATTTGCCCAAAGTTTCACAGAGAGTAAAATTCGGCCAAGCCGACATATGAATGCCAAGGGGTTAGTGCCAGAGTTTCAGGTCCTGACTGCTCAGCTATAGGGTAGTCTTCTTTCAATTCCGGTACATTCTCAAGTTGAGCATAGACATGTTTAAAGGCTTAACATGAATCTTTTTTTTGAAGCAAACTCGCTGCATGTTCAGGTGCTTGTATGTCTAACAGAATTTTATCTGTTACAGAGACAGTCTCCTGACTTCAGCTTGAAAAATGTCATTGGTCTGTGATTTTTAAGTTGGTGTCATGCTAAATTTATAGCCAGTGTTGGGATACTTGAAAGAATATCAAGTTGATCATATTTACACGTGTCATATGCATAGATGTATAAATTTACCTAAATGTGCTGGGAGGTTTGTCTAAAAACTGAAGGGCTTCCAGAAGAGATTGAATGTGTTGGTTTTAGAAAGGTAGTTTAGGGACGCCTGGGTGGCTCAGTCGGTTAAGCATCTGCTTTCGGCTCAAGTCATGATCTCGGGGTCCTGGGATCGAGCCCTGCATTGGGCTCCCTGCTCAGCAGGGAGTCCGCTTCTTCCTCTGCCCTTCACCTTGCTTGTTCCCTCTCTCTCTCTCAAATAGATAAATACAATCTTTTTAAAAAATAGAAATGTAGTTTAAAATGTTTGAAGATACTTAATTAACTGAGTTTGTAAATGAGACCAAACATTATTGTGAAGACCTATCTGGAATAAAGAGGCATATCTAGAATTAAAAGGGTTGTAAGCCAACCTTGAAAGATTAAGGAAGAAGTGGGTTGCTGGATTTGTCACTTCCATGTGTGCAATATGAATCGCAGTAATCAAAACAAACCTCAGAACAGTTTTTTTCCCCTGTACCCTGAAGCCAGGATCAAAGGCTCTAAAACCTTTGGTTCAGCAGGTACCAGTTTACAGAAGTGAGCAATTCAGCTCGGTTCTGCCCCCAAGGAATGTGAGTTCCACGAGGACAGCAGCATCTCCAGGAGTCCGTTTTGTTCACGGGTGGACCTCAGTCTGGCTTGCAGGAGCTGCTCAGGACATAGCTGTTAAGTGAGTGTTTGGCTCCTACATCCCAGCAGGTCAGACACTTGGAAACACAGTTAGAGACGGATTCAGAGAGTCAGGGCCAGACAGAAAAAAGAGGCCGAATGGAGAAAAGGTGGGGAGAGGCAGCTCCAGATGGCCCAGGACTGGTGAGACAGAGCCACCTTTTGGGATCCCCACCCAGTGCCCCATTTCCCAAAGGGCCAGGAGCCACCCACCCCCCATCCTGGCCTCTTGGCCTCTTTCCGCATCAACAGGTGGCCCTGCCCAACCCTCTCACCCACGCCTGGCTGCACCAGCCCAGCCAAGTCCTCTGCAGGGGGCCCCCAGACTGGATCCCTACCCCTATTTGCCCCATGATGAGGGGCAGGAGGAGGGATGAGGGATCCTTTTGGCAAAGTGGCCTGAGTCTTCTCTACTCCAAACGCAGCGCAAGGGAGACAGAGGGACACAAAGATGCGGAGATACAGGTACTTGGAGCCAGTGGCAGGGGGAGGGGATAAAAACAGAGGGGGACTGAGAAGGGTAGAGTCGCAGAGGAAAGAGCGGCGACAGAGAAGGAAAGATACAAGAGAAACTCTGAGGCATAGAGACAGAGACGGAGAATCACAGACGCATAAATGGAGTGACGGGTATGCTCACTATCGGTGGTGATGTGTGTCAGACCTCATCAAATCCTACACATTAAATATGCACAGTTTATTGTAACCTGATTCCACCTCAAAGCTGTAAAGGGGAAAAAAAAGGCAGAGGAAAAGTAAAGGAACAAAAGACCAGAATTCTAAGGTATGTTGACATATGCACCACTCAGAATCATTAAAAAGAGAGAGAATCGGGGCGCCTGGGTGGCTCAGTTGGTTGGGCGACTGCCTTCGGCTCAGGTCATGATCCTGGAGTCCCGGGATCGAGTCCCACATCGGGCTCCCCGCTCGGCGGGGAGTCTGCTTCTCCCTCTGACCCTCCCCCCTCTCGTGCTTTCTCTCATTCTCTCTCTCTCTCAAATAAATAAATAAAATCTTAAAAAAAAGAGAGAGAGAGAGAATCAGGAGACACAGATAAAGGGCAAGGGTTAGAGACACAGAAAAACAGAGAGGGAGGGACAGAGAGATAGACGCGTTGAGACCCAGGGAGAGAGACAGGGATCCTAAGACAGAGGGTGGGGAGAGAGACCCAAGATGAGATACTTGGTGGGCTCGTCTTATGTTGAGAGAGACTCAGAAAGATTCAGAGGGAAGCAAACACAGAGAAGGAAGGCTGTAAGAGTTTGAAAAAATAGACAAAGATGGGAAGATGAGGGGGCGCCTGGGTGGCTCAGTCGTTAAGCGTCTGCCTTCGGCTCAGGACATGATCCCAGGGTCCTGGGATCGAGCCCCGCATCGGGCTCCCTGCTCCGCGGGAGGCCTGCTTCTCCCTCTCCTACTCCCCCTGCTTGTGTTCCCTCTCTTGTTGTCTCTTTCTCTCTCTCTCTCTCTCTCTCTCTCTCAAATAAAAAAATAAATTAAGCTTAAAAAAAAAGATGGGAAGATGATAAGGTGGGACAGAGAGAGGCAGAAAGAGTGAAGAACACAGAAAATAAAGAAAAATCCA